CAGAGATATACAGACAGGCCAACCTGTCTCGAATGAGGCCGGCAGAGATATACAGACAGGCCAACCTGTCTCGAATGAGGCCGGCAGACAGACAGACAGGAAGGGTACCTGCTGGACCACAAAGATAGACAAAAAGACAGAAGCGCTGGCCTGTAAACAGAGAGACAGAAACACAGAGGGAAAGACAGACTGACATGGAGGATGCATCCCCGGACCTCAGGAAGGCACACAAGCAGACAGGCAGTTAGACAAGACGCCTAAAGAAGCACACAGACTAATATCTGCTGAAACACTCTGAAGGAGCAGGTAGGTCCTAAGCCCCGGGGACAGGCAGCACCTTGTGGCTGGATGGAGTCCCAGAGGAGAAGAGCGAGTTAAACTGCAGCTGGGCATCTCGCTCTTCCTGGATCTGGGACAGCAGCTTCTGCAAGACAGAGACAATGCAAAGGGGGGTTGCTACCCGCCTGGTCGCTTAGCAACACATCCCAGCAATGTTTGGGTAATATTGGTTTATTACACACAGACTGCAAATCCACACAGATGTGTGAAATGCAGAGTGAGCCTAGAGCACAGCCTAGGAAGCATAACGGGAGGGCATATGTTCACGCCCCAGGCTTTTGAGATACGTTAACTAGCTTAATTGCTCTCCACGCACATATACAGTCTGAAATGGGAATCCAAGATAACGTGCAGTATGTATGACCGTGGTTAAAAGAACATGTATAAACGGATGGTTTAGAAGCAGAAGAGAACCTGCTTTGCATAACATGAGAAAGACAGGACCCTGTCTTACCTTGGTCCGCTGTGACTTTTCTGGATTCACACAGTGGAACTGTTGAGTGTTGGCATCTAACAGGACTTTCTGAAAGGATACAAAAGGAGGAGGTGGTGTGACACTTAGCGGGTTAGGAATTCACAGCTCTGTCTAGAAGGTTGTGGGTTCAAATCCCATGGCGAGCTGAACAATCATATCACCTGGTTGAACCTCCCCAACTTGTACGCTGCTTTGGATAAAAGAATGTGCTGAATAAATACATATGAGAAGTCCATTAAAAACTGTCTCTGCAGGTCACTCTCAAATTCCTGATGCTTTCACAGTATGGAAGAACGCAAAAGCAGTACCATCACAACTGTATGATTATTACCTGTTGGTCATATATTTTGCATAGTTTTTTTTATTCTACTTGCATATGAGCAAAGGTGGACATTTCAGGTCCAGAAAGTAAAACTCCAAACCAGGATTTTGTTTCAACCAACCAGCTGAGAATAAAGAGTCACTGTCACAGAGAACTCAACTGGTTGGTTGAAACAAAATCCTGGTTTGGAGTTTTACTTTCTGGACCTGAAATGTCCACCTCTGCATATGAGTCAGTTTTAACTGGTCAGTGGACAATACTAGCATAGTGAGCCAGTTAGAAATATCAGGAGAATTTCGACATCACTTTTTCAAATGTGAATATAAGTCTGATAAATAATAATATGTGTGTTTTGCCTAAACTGAGCCTTAGACTGAATGATGTCAATCCAATCGTCAACAAAATTCATCAGTGCAAGTAGGCTGGCAAAATAATTCACTGATTTAGAGGTTTGTTAGAGGACATATTAACCGACAAACTGATGTGTTATTTGGCTGAAAGATGATGATTGGTTGCTCTACAGGCTGGCGAACCGACAAACAAGTTAGTCAACTGAGGGGAGGACAAAATGATCAATTGATGAATTGACATTTACACTTAATTACTGACTGGTAGGTTAAATAACTGCTTTACTGGTTTCATACATTAGCCTGCTGACGGTTCTTCTGCTTGACCTTCTCCAGCACATCTCTCTCCGTGGGGAGCTGGTAGGTGCTGGCTGGTACCTGAATCACATGATAGATGGGGTCGTAATTCCATCAAAAGCCAGCATGGCAGATGAAGGTTAAATGATATATGAACAAATATAGTGACGCGGGGATACAGACAGACACACCTACCGGCCGATGTCGCTCCTGCTGGGGAATGGGCTCTGGTTTGGGGAGAGTCCGAGGTTTGGGCTTGGTCAGGGCAAACTCCTTAGGTTCAGTGATCTTCTGACTGGCTTTCTTGGGTTGAATTCCACCAGCTGCTTTGCTGGCCAGTTGGGTGATAATTCCTTCAACCTCTGGCTGCCACCTAGTAGGGGATTTTATTAATCATTAGTGAGACGAGGGGCATTTCTGTTGGACTGATATGGGGTCTGTCCTTGAGAGGAAGGCACTGGAGGCTTATACGTGTATGGTGAGAGGAGAACAGTGGAGTGGGACGTGCAAACCAGAATCAGAACCTTCCGCGTATGAAAACAGACCATCAGGTGATGGACACCTCAGGATCACGGGAAGACGTGACACTGTATGATTCGTTGTAATACGACTTATGGTGTTAACAAGTGGGCAATGGGCGGGTCCACTGGTCAGTACCGAAGCCTCACGTCTCCATGGCTGTCGGCTGGTTTCCTGCCCCTGGCCCTGTCTGGGGAGCTTGTTTGCACTGTGCTTTCCTCTCGCAAACAACAGGCAGGTGAAATGCCACTTCTAAGGCTGCTTTTCCACTGCACTAGTCGCAATATTTTTGATCCTAAAATTCTGTAGTTTCCCTTTTCCACTGACTTCCAGTCCAGGACCAGTGCCAGAAGTACCAAACCAGCTGGGGTACTATTTTGGTACGTTGAGGTGGGACTAGCAAACGTGTTCATTTTCAATTGCCAGAGTTGGATAGCTCAGGTCCAGGAAGTAAAAATCCAGACCAAGATTTTGTTTCAACCAACCACTGAGTATATAGAGTCACAGTCCCAGATTACTCACCTGGTTGGTTGAAACAAAATCCTGATCTGGATTTTTACTTCCTGCACTATCCACCCCCCTGGACTGGCTATGCAAACAGCCGCCGTCTTGAAAAAAGCCTGGCATCTCATCCAGGCCATCCCTTACCATGTGCTCTGTGCTTCATGCCACTCTGTACCGAGTAAGTGGTGTAAAATATGTATTTATGTATAAATGATGATGAGTAAATATCCCCTTGGTCACTAATGCACAATACTGACTCGTTTGTTCACCAGTCTGCATTTCAGTCTGGGGTTTCTGTCCTGATGTCATCTGTTCAGTCATTGGAATGTATATAAGTGAATGAGGTAAAATATTCAGACCTGAATGCCTGGGAAAACACTGTATCCCCCAATACCTCAGCAGAGGTGCAATCCAGCTCTTTTCCACATAGGGGGCGTCATAGATCTGACTCCATTCCCCTTGGATCCAGGTGCTGAGGTTGTTCACGTTGAAGAAGAAACTCAGAAACTGAAAGGAGTAGAAATCGTGAAATTCCCTTCCCTGTACTGAACTAAAGTCTTTTAAGTGAGTCATTTGAATGGAATAACAATGGAAGCAATTGAGATTTCAATGGGTAAATAAGTTTCCATTGATCAGAGTGTCACCCAGTAGTAACAGCCAACATCATTGCTACTCACACTGCAATCCTCCAGATGACGTGCAAAACATATTGTTTCTTACATGATTAAGGCTTGTGACAACGTGTTATGTAATAATTCTGCATTATGTAATAACTCGACAGAATGTAACAAATTCAATGATGATAACAACAACAACAACAACAACAACAATAATAATAATAGGGTAATGTTGCAATAGGAAATTATAATGTAGTCTATCAATTTGTAACATTTTGTTATTGTTATTAGATAATGAAGTGTTATTACATAATGTGTTGTTGTACGCTGTGTGTATTATGTGATGAAAATTTGCTACATTTTGTTGCGCATTATTACATAATGTGTTGTAACGAGGCCTGTGCCATTGCAGTGCCCCATGACCTTACAGTGACATTTTAGCAACCCGTGACCTTTTAGAGCCTGCTTTTAGAGCGCCAGCTCAACGTCTCCCTCCTTTTTGGCCGATGTCTATGTGAGTGATTTACCTTGTGCATCTTCACCGCATCCAGGGATTTGACGATCTTGCTGAAGCAGCGAAGACCCAGGTCTTCCAGGAGGAACGTAGCCAGGAAACAGATCACTGTTGAGCAAAAAATATAGATGAAGCAAGCCAGACTCTGAAAGACCAAAACTATCCCTTCTGTACTTTCACATATGACCTCATGACCTCAGTTGTTCTGAGATACTACATATCCTCTTAGAGGTATAAGTGATGTAGCAGCCCAAAGCTGTTCACCAAAGGGAGATTCGCATAAAACAAAAATGGCAGAACTTATACTTCCATCTCTAGCTGTATTTATATCTATCTGCATCAAGATGGTGGTTGACCCCACCGATGGTCACGAAAAACATACAGGAAAGTAGGTTCTTAAAAAAATCCTCTATAAAAGCTGCTAAATATGTCTTCTTCACAGCAACCATAATGACTGCTGAAAACAATCATACCCATAAACTGGTTGCGATCGGCTTGTAGGAAGCCTTTTCCGGTGCGATGGTAGAAGGTATTGACCACAACGTCCAAGAGCTTCCTGTGCTCAACGCAGCCAGAAATAACCTCCAGCACAAAGTTCTGCTCCGAGTCTTCCAGGTCCTGGAGAAAGTTACAAATACATAGGCCGGGATGAACATTCACATCATGAATACATGTGGCAAGCTTGATATGCAAACTATTATTACCAGGGTTTTAAATCTTCATCTTTTTGTCTTGATTGCTACTGGAATGATCCAGTGTTCATTTGAACAGAAAGATTTTCCTAGTCACTTTCACCCATACTTGAATTCTTCAGTAAACACACTAAATGCACTTCAATCTTTGCAATTAATCCTTCGTTTTCTCAAGTGTTCCATTCTTTGGGCTTTAACACAAACCAAACTGCTTGCTTACGCATGTTACATCCATAACATGTTACTCCACCGTCTGAAATTGTACAGGTGAGATTTCACCAGCGTTGTGTTTTATACTATTAGTTCTATGGGTTCTGAAACACATTGACTGACACGTCTTGTTTGGTGTCTTCTGAACAAGTTACTATCAAGTTTGTAATTAAATATTAGTATAATTAAACATTAATTAAAGTGCTTTAGTGATGCTTCATAAATTAGTCGTCCTAAAACTCAGTCTTGGTATTTTTAAGATGAGGACGATGAGCAGCATTTCATTGTCCAGACCAAGCTTTCACCCACCCGAAGAGCCTTGGAGGCGTGGTCTACAAACGCCTGGAGGCTGCCCTCTTCTGGCTGGAATGTATCCAGCAGAGCGACAGCTTGTCTGACGAGGCTTCTGTGATCTTTCATCTTTAGAGCTCAAACCTGGGCAAAGCTCAGAAGACAGATGTGCTCTGCTCTCAATCTGAAACAGATTTTAAAATATGTTTGTTAGTACCACCTTAATTAACCACTAAAATAAAAAAGGTCTAAAATGATGTAACTCTAAACACCCTGAAAGCATTTCAATATTTATTCTGAATCAGTGGGAATCTCATTATTTCCACTAGTTATAATTTAATATGGAGCCAGCCACTTATTTCAGCATGTAAGCTCCAGTTTCGATAAGCACACTTATGAAAAATAGCAGACCCATTGATCAGTCAGCAAATGTCAGACTTTCAGTTTTGCTCAGTCTTCATTGTAAATAGTTGATAAAGATACAGGTGGTTTAGAGGACGGCCGCAGTTTTACTTAGCAGAAAATCTTGTGTAAAGAAGCTTAGACCAATTCAGTTTATAGACTGGTTTATATACAAACATAGGTACCTGATTAAAACCTTCCTCGAGGGTACAAAACAGACCCCTCCCGAAACACTTATAAGAAATAGCCAGTGTGTGTGTGTGTGTGTGTGTGTGTGTGAGAGAGAGAGAGAGAGAGAGAGAGCATCTAGTAAACTGAAATTAAATGTCGGACTAAGGGACTAAAGGTCACGCTTGGCTTGTATATTAATAGTACTTGTGTTCACTGAGTATTGCCCTGCTTCGATCTGCCTGGAAACAAAATGAGCAGAAATAAACCAAAACTTAAGGTTAATAGTTCATTGTGACAGTATTTTTAATAGCATTATCATATGCCTAGCAGAACAGAAGTACATTGTTTTAAGTTCGGTTTATTGTGGTGCACAGTGCTTTACCGAAAAAATGTTGCTTGCTGTAAATATAGCTCTATATCATGATATTAACTACCTATCACTATAGTTTTATGCCACGACTTTATCTGGCTTTAAATATCACTATATATAATTATTATTTTAGTTTTTGCAAGATGTAAGTATCGCTATAGACTTATCGCTTATGGACTCATGAATATAAATATGCAATTGGACAAGCAACATGAAAAACGCGCGTGTATTTAAATAACAATTGACTATTTCATTAACAGACAACAGGAGAAAATAAGCATAGAACTATTTTAACGTCATTATATTCAATCAGATGGATAAAGGTATCGGTCCCCTTACCGACAGATATCTATCTTCATGAAGCTTAAAAGCGGCTTCGGAGTGGATGTAAACCCCATACAAAATCGTATGTCGGTCACTTACAAAGAATATGTGCAGTTTTTAATAAATCTCCCGAAATGGGATAGTGTTTGAGTGTTACCTAGCAACTGTAATCATGGTGACCAAAAATGCTCATGGCTTTTCATATCTCTGGTGGCCATTCACCTTTTAACATTCATATACCTCTGCAGTTTAATACTGATATTTCAATATTCTTTATATTTTAGACCTACTTTCTAAACATGAAATGAACTTCCCAATCGTTGTAAAAAAAAAAAAAAGACACAATTTAAGTGAGTTTGAAAATACGCGCAATACCTGATGATGAAATGAACGCTCCACCGTCTCATTGGCTAGTTGTGCTGCCAATTATGGGGCTGCTTCCGGTGCTGTGGCGTCATCATTGCGCAGGTACGGAGACCCGAGTGTCTGGAGCGATGTCAGAGAGCTCCTGTCATCCCCGGACTGCGATGTGTCTCAGGGCGGCTAGCCTGCGCTCGGATTCCGCTGTTAAGGACAGACAGGCATAACACAACATTCAAACCGCTGTCATGAAGACATCACGCCAAATCGGAGGATTACCAGTCAACGCGAAGCTGATTTATACCGCATAACTAAACACTTATTACCGGAAAAATATATATTCTGAAGTTGTATTTAGACATTCGTTAGAGGCAAGTGTCAAGGAGAAGAACGACGAGGGGTGGGAATGATGAACCGGTTCAGAAAGTGGCTATACCGACCGAAGGTAAATTCTGGTGTAATGTTTTGCCTGGTCTTGATGGGGGGGTTTTAACATGTGATACGATCAGTGGCACGGTTTGCGATATTACGTAACGATGTAACAGCGATTTTCTGCCTGGCGTCGGCTGCGTGTAACTAAGTTGCCCCTCGCCTGTCGGATTTAACGTGAGTGTCTTGACTGTCAGCCTGCTCGTATAACAGGATCATGTACCGTACTGTGTAACGACGCCGCCGGACTGCCTAGCATAGAGTGCTATGATCACCTTGCACAGAATCGTGTGGGACTTGTCACTATGGGAAGAGACCACTTAGGCTACCAAACCGCATGGGAAATAAGGGCATTATGTGTTTACATTCTAGTGCCACGTTTTCATCCCCTGGATGGAAATAATCTATATGCAGTACATATATATTCTCATTTACATTCAAAGTAAAAAAGAATCAATGGCATTTCACGTTCTGGGTTACCTACCAGCCTTACAATACAGATGTCCTAAATTCAGTAAAGTCATATGTCATTTGATCATTACATCGCAAAATCGATTCGATCGTATGTATATTATTTAAAGTTAAACATGAACAGTAGGATATTCAGTTTGATGCACAAGGTAAATCAGCAATTTGCAACGTTTTCTCTTAGTTTAAGGTAGAAGACCTACATTTTTTTGGTGAACCCTTAACTCGCTTAAACGCAATATTAAAACATTGCGGTATGTACTATGGGAAAATACATGACTGAATAAGTTTGATGTGTTTTGGTATTTCACAGACATTTAAGCACTAATGATTGTCCTGTTTTTCCGATTTGTATGTTAAGACTTTGCTAGTATAACTGCGTTGTGGTTTTGTTCGATCGTATAGAAATACTCATTTAGTTATGACAAAAAGGCAAACAATTAATATGAATTAAATCTATTCGTGAAACATTTGTGTTTAGCTCTGAAGTCGATAGACTCCTGGGGAGCAAATTTTTAAGCAGCGAGGTTTAGATGCGCGATGCGGAGGCTTTTCGCCCAGCGCCGGCAGCCCAGATACCGTCCCACTGGGACCCAAGTGTGGCGCGTTCTGCTCCACGACCTCATCTCACAAGAAAACCATTGTTCACAGCAGCTGCTTGAGAATGTGAGACTTTCTGCTGGAATGCCGGGGTGACAGGGCGAGCAGGAATGGAGACAGCAGTGACGCTTCAGGACTCCGGGGGAAATGTGAGGTCTCCGGCTAGGGTCGAGGTCTTACTCTCATATTAGTGGCCTGGTGTCAGTCCGGTGGGATGCCACTCTCAGCTGTATCAGTGTAAGAATAACATGGAGGCTCCTTGTGGGGACTCTCACTCTCCATTTGAATTCGATATAAGCTTTGGATTATGCTTAACAGAACGGTTAGTTGGATAGCATAGTTGCACTGTGATTGACTGGATGGCATTCCACCTGCGTCCCCGGTCTTGTGCCCTCTGCTTCACGGGATAGACTCTAGGCTCCAGTCTTCACTCTCCTTGCATTTAATTTGTTCTGCACGTTTTTAGCATCTTTGATCCCCTTAATTTGTATCTCTGATTTTCCTGCAGATGATTTTGTTGCTTGCATTACAGTACACAGCCTACACTGGAGAATAGTTGAGTTATTGATGTGTACCGGTCAGCGCTGACTCAGTGCCTGTTCTCTGTCCCCCTTGGCCTGAGATTTCCTGGGTACAGCATTTAGTCGCTGAAGGTGCTTATGTGGCACATCCCCTCATACCAGTACAGAGCTCAGCTCCCGTATGTTTCTCCTTGAGGAGCACAGGGGAGGCGCAGGAGCACAGGAAGTATCTCGGCCACTTGTGGCTTCGGAAAGACGCGTACGAGCATCACATGGCACCGCTGCGTGACAGACGGACCACGGAGATTTGTGGCCTTAACTTCCGGAGACAACAGTTCAAGTATCTTCAGGGTATGAGCCCCCTGTTTTACTCGAGGATGGAGAGACGTGGGAATCAGCTTACAGTCAGTGATGGACGGAGAGTGAGAAGGAGGAGGAAGGCAGGAGAAGCAGAACTTGAGAGGGTCTGAGGTAGCTTCCCCACATACCCACTTACCCACACCCAGCCTCGTTGGCATTGTGTCTCGTGGGCCATGACTGTTCACATTTCAGGTTCCAATTTCATTTCTCACATACGCAATCCTGCACTGTACACCTGTGTACTGAAAGGCTTTCCCATTCAGTTCCTGAACTGTGCTTGAAAGGAAAAACATAATACAAAGACAAAAAGAATAAAATCACAACTTAAGAAACACTATAGGCATGGTAGGACCCCAAATAAAATTAATGCAAAATAGACAATAAAAACAGAGAGCAGGATATCAGCATCTAGGAAATACATGAGCAATGAAAGTGTGGGATGGTATAAAGTGCGTAAAGCAGCTTATTAGCTATGGGAGGAGTGCTTTAGTATATGGATGCTCTAAGAATAGACGCTTTTGCTCATTTTCTTAGTCTCAGAGTACCTGTGAAGGCTCTAATGCAGTGTTTCCCAATCCGGTCCTCGGAGACCTGCAGCAGTCCACGTTTTTGCTCCCTCCCAACTTAAGCAAAAATGTGGACTGTTTGGCAGGGAAGCACTGTTCTAATGTATCAGGAGGCGCTTCAGATGGATTCAATCATATAAGAAGCAGCTCCGCTGGAATTTCCCCTTGACTGGGGGCGTGGTCACACTCCTGTCAGGTCAGGTCAGGTTGGGGGGCCAGCACTGGCACAGCATGTTGCCACACCCACCACACACCAAAACACATAGGGATCCCAGTTGGCGACCCCCCAGGCAGACAGTCCCACCCTCCGGAAATGGCCATCCATCTGCCGCAGCCAGGTGTTAGGTGGGCGTCCCCTCCAGCCGCTCGGGTCCTCAGCAGTGAGGATCCCACGAGCCGGATCACCCTCAGGGAATCACGCCACATGGCCGTGGTGCCGTAACTGACGCTCCCTCACAATGCAGGTAATGTGCCTCATTCAGGACTCCGCTAGCAACCGCTCGTTCGACACAAAGTCAAACCAGTGGTACCCAAAGATTCTCCAAAGAGACACCGTACGAAAGGAGTCCAGTCTTCGTCTCAGCTCACTGGATAGTGTCTATGTCTCACAGCCGTACAGCTATACAAGAAACACCAGGACTCTGAAGACTTGGACCTTTGTCCTCTTGCAAAGATGTCAGGAGCACCATACTCCCATTCCCAGCGACCTCATGACCCCCCCATGCTCTCCCAATCCACCTGCTGACTTCATAGGAAGAGTTACCAGAGACATGAATGTCACTGGTATTAAAATGCCTGCTCTTTCATTGGTTCCTACGAGCGTTAAAAGAAAACTGTTACGAGATGTCCAGAACTGCTGAAATCTTCCCAAGTCTCTCAAGTTACTAATAAAGTGTAACAAGGTCTGTGGGATTGTTTGAGTTGCTTGGGACTGATTTCCAGAAGAGCATAACCCAAATAAATATATGAGAGACTTAATCCAATAAGCTAAATAAATGTGGGAAAATATAGGTATATTAAAATTTGTTCTGAGAACTTGGGGTCTTAAATTACAGTACAGTACAGTCGTAATGTGAGTGATACTATAGACTGAAATGTTTCCAGTCATATTACCTATAAAAGTATCTGTTGATGTGTGGATGAGAGCTGCTGAGTCCATGCTGTATATTAAGGAGAACTGGATGCTCTAGCAGGAAGCTGCTGTGGCCACTGGCTTTGGCTGCTGTAATTGAGAATGTAAACATCTGGGCTGGAATGGGGGTGGCTCTCATTTGAATAGCCGGAGTGTGTGAAACAGCAGAGTTGGGGGCCCAGTGTTCACCGCTGAGCACGTCTGACCTCCAATCTCACATGGCTGCCACCCTGCCCTGTCTACATGAGGCTGAGAGCAGGAAGCTTCTATACAGGAGGTGAACCACCGCCATCAACATATTCATGGGAGACAGTGTGGCTCAGCATGTTAGGGTGCTGGGCCTGTGATAGGGAAGGTCACTCGTTCAAATCCCAGGGTCAGCAGAATGATTTCACCAGTGATACATGATGGCTCCCTTCACAGGTGCTGTCCTACTGAGACAATCAATATTATTCACTTCCCCTGTTAGTGATTTTAATGTTATGGCCAATCGATGTGTAAGTGGATGGTTTATTGGAGCCCTTCAAATTAAGTGTGTTGTGTGATTACATTTCATTCATTCAGCTGACACTTTTATCCAAAGCGACATATAGTTTCGACAAGCAGAGTCAGACAGTCCCCGGAACAACTTAGGATCAAGGGCCTTGCTAGCCCATCTGGTCCGATCCCGCTAGCCGGTCTGGTCCGATCCCGCTAGGCGGTCTGGTCTGATCCCGCTAGCCCATCTGGTCCGATCTCGCTAGCCAGTCTGGTCCAATCTCACTAGCCCGTCTGGTCTGATCCCGCTAGCCCATCTGGTCCGATCTCGCTAGCCGGTCTGGTCCGATCTCGCTAGCCCATCTGGTCCGATCCCGCTAGCCGGTCTGGTCCGATCTCGCTAGCCGGTCTGGTCCGATCTCGCTAGCCCATCTGCTCCGATCCCGCTAGCCGGTCTGGTCCGATCTCGCTAGCCGGTCTGGTCCGATCTCGCTAGCCCATCTGCTCCGATTTCGCTAGCCGGTCTGGTCCGATCCCACGGGAGAGCTAGCTGTAGCTTTCAGCACAAATTGCTGAAAAAGTTAATGCTGGCTATTATAGGAAGGTGCCAGAATACCCAGGGCATAGAAAGATGTCAGAATGCATAGTGCATCACAGCTTGTTGCGTATGGGGCTGCATAGCCACTGACTGGTCAGAGGGCGATGGTCTGCTGGGAAGTCTTAGGTCCTGGCCTTCATGTGGATGCTACTTTGACACATTCCACCTACATAAACTTTGTCACAGACCAGGAATACCGCCTCATAGCAATGGCATTCCCTGATGGCAGTGGCCTTTTTTGACAGGATAATGCACCTCACTACACTGCAAATATTAGTTTATGGAACATGAAAAAGAGGCGTTGTCCCCCGATATTAATCCCATCAAGCATCTGTGGGATACTCTGGACAAACCAGTATGATCCATGGAGACCCCACCTCGCACCTTACAGGACATAGAGGATCTGCTGCTAAGGCCTGGCCGCCAGATACCACAGGACACCTTCTGGAGTCCTTGCTTCAACGGGTCAGAGTTGTTTTGGTGGCATGAGAGGGACCAACACAATATTAGGCAGGTGATTTTAATGTTATGGCTGTTCGGTGTATATATTAGTAAGAACTCATGTATTTTGTAAGTGGTTAAAAGTTTGAAGAGGGACATGAAGAGGGACATAAAGAGGGACATGAAGAGGAACATGAAGAGAGCGACCAGCTTTGATGCAGGTGAAGACCTTTAAGAGCAAACAAGTTGATTCTTGATCCAATCAATGTCCACATTGGACCTGTCTTAGGTTGGGTATATTACGAGTAGATTCAAAGCACTTGAAAAGACCATAACGCTTAAAGGTAAAGGGGGAAGAAGAAGATAAGCACCAAGATGGATGGATTTAATCATCACTGCAGATGACAGAATGTTCTGGAGAAGTTCTGTCTATATGTCCACCAGGAATCAGCATCGATTTAATGGTGTCTAATAAGAATAAAAACAGTCAATGTCCTATTTTCTGATAAGCGTTTCCTGTATAACTAAATAACTGAAAACCCGCAGCCCAATGCTTCAGTGTGGGTGTGAATGTCACATAGAATCAGCTGATCAAACGACCACCAAGGGGCTATCGATGATGTCACAGATCTGCATCCACGGGCCGCCTACATCAGGAACGAGCACCTACAGTGAAATGCTCAATGAGAAAGACCTCAGGCGCAAAGTGGTTGAATCAGCATGTTCTCTTTCAGTTAACCATGCAAACGTTCGGATCGCTGCATCCTCTACATCTCGTGGAGGACAGATAATCCATGACACTGTTTGTGGCTTTCCTGCAAATGGCTGTGTAATTCAATGCCTCCCCCTGAAACCGAATGCTGTGAGATGGTTTAAGAGTCAAACTACTTCATCAGACCCTGCTAGCGGGGTTGGATTTCATCGCAGCCTGGTCTAACCCTGCTGTGGACTCGTGTGCTATTTCTGTGCTATTCCCTGCATTCAGTTTGACACGCTCTCTCTGGAGTTCAGCATGCTGTGCTTGTCTGCTATCCCTGTTATCCTCGAGCAAGCATAGCTCACCTTTGGTCTGGGAGCCACACTGTTAGCTTACTGGTGCTCAGAGGTTTCCCTGGCAATGGGATCTTTCCAAACATGTCTCAGCCAGCCGCTGATATTTACCTAGAAACAGCATTCCCCTCAGCGAGGCAGGGACTCCGCCCACCGCGGAGAATCCCTCAGCGGGCATGAATGTGTATGGGTGTCTGAAGAGACTGAATCTCTGGGGCATAGTTTGTGAAGATGGAGCCTTTTTAACTGATTAAATGGCCCATTGCCTTTGAGTGGTTGTAGGTTAAGATCCTTGGACATGGAGACATCCTATGGAGAGAAGATGTGTAGCAGGACATTTTACTGAAGTATATAATTACAGAATATGTTTATCCAGGAAGTTTGTCTGTGTTTGTACGTGTATAATAGGAGAATGAATGAAGGCATGGATGTTGTATCCATTGCAGCGTCTCATTGTGTTGGTTGTCTGTCTAGACAACATATGGCCATGGATGCATCAGTGTATCAATGGCAGGTGTTGGTCCGTCTACACGAACGTTCACGCTCACTCGTAAACTGGAAGACATGCAGTGAAAGTTGGGTGCGGCAGTGGTCTGAAACTGCACGAGCGAGGGGTGTCGATTGGGTGACGAGAGTGAGCCGGTGACACAAACGACGCAGGACACCACCCTGGAGAAACACTGAAGGGCCCAAAGTAAGGGGGGAGGAGCCTGAGAGAAAAAAGAGAGATGACAGGAAAGAGAGAGGTGATTATGGGTAAGCGGTTGGGGCAGGAGTGAGACTGTTTATGTGTCAGAGAAAGGCTTTTAAAAAGTTTGTTTATAATGGAATAGAAATATGAAGTCTTACAGTGACCGCTGACAGTGGCTTTAGATTGTTTTTTTCAGTCAGTGATGTGCTGACAGTGTCCCTGAATATTCCTTTCAAAGCAGAGAAAAGATAATTAATCTCCCAAAGAATGCAGTTGTGGTGTTAGTTATCAATGATCTGTGGTAAGTGTTAGAATTCAACAGGCAGACTTAAGCCTCACGAATGCAAACAAACATCATTACCTTCATTTTTAAAGGGCTATTTTGCATTTCACCAAAAAATACTTGACATAAGAAAACAGTGCAACTTTTCACCTGAAGAATATAATAATATGTCTGACTTAATAATGGTCAGAATTACAAATACCTCTTACAGGGCTTACGGAAATCAGCCTGCCCAAGGAATTTGGTTGGGCACGTCGATGAGAGCCAGCGACTGTGACATGTTACTGTAACCATGGAGATGACCTGACTGCATTCCATAGTGCACAAACAACTTCCTGTCTGCGTACATTTACAGGGATAGTTCATTTATATGGTTTAGGGTGGATGGCGTCCACTGTGCAGGTCCTCTGTGTTTTTGGGAATGTAGAACCCCACTTAATGAATTGGGTCTTCCAGTGTAATATGTTCTAACTAGCTGCCATTTTGAGACAGGACACTGTGATGGGTGCTTAGTAGCATGTCCATGTTTGGTGCTGTCCCTGTGATGCAATGCAAAGACAATGCTGCTTTGGTGCTGCGGACCACAGCGGGGTTGGGCCGCATGCCCCCCAAATCCAGCTGCCTGCTTTATCTGCCCGCTAGCCACCGTGGTGGTCCCCCACGAGGAATGCAGACTGCCGCATATTTCATCCCCGCAGAGCGGCGACATCACAGAGTCGAACTTCGCTCACATCCATGTTTCTGCCTATGGGAGGGCGGGGCCTATGAGGGGGTGGAGCCTGTCGGTGGGTGGAGCCTATCGGAAGGAGCCTGTTTGCCGTGGTTTTGTCATGTGAGTGTGTTAAGCAAAGGAGGAGGATGTGGATCATGTGTATCATAACTGGAGCACCTTGAGTCATGCAGTTATTCAAGGGTACAATAACCAGACCCTTCGGGCTTTCGACCTGCCAGCCCCACTCCCCATCCACTGTACTGTCAGTGTATACCATACCTTCACCTCCCTGTCTCCTGTTTCAACACCCCCACCTACCCCCAGAGGTCGGATCCCCAGCTCCTTGCCCAGTTCTACTACGCGGATGAGGAGCTGAACCAGGTGGCCACGGAGCTGGACAGCCTGGATGGCAGGAAGGACCCTCAGCGCTGCACCCTGCTGGTCAACCAGTTCCGCTCTTGCCAGGTGAGACGCCCCCGATAGCCGACGACACACTGAGAGTGACGGAGGGTGTGGCTGTTTCAGAAGAGGAGCGAGGTCAGGGACAGGCGTCTACACTGCTGTGCCGAATGGTTTAAGAGGATTAAGTGAGACTGGTGTGTGTCATAGTCAAGGGTGTAGATTTGGGTATAGATACTATTAATGTGTCCCAACCAATACTGCGGAAGGCCATGGGGGGTGGAGGTTAGGGGCTGATTGGGGCCATACCAATGTCGACACCAAACCTACGCCGGTCATGGGGAGTGTCCGGCCCTCAGTTAAAGATCAAAGCGTTACTTTTATATATTGCTTTGTTGACCATCCCTTAACTTGCCGTGGCTGCAACAATATCCATAGTGATCCCCCAGAACTTTCTGTCATTGTTCCTCTTCTTCTTGCCTCCCCATTGTATTGTTGCGATGATTGAATAATAATATGGAGTAAAACTCAAAATCTTAAGGAGTGTATTATTGCACTTCGTGTCATTTTCTTTTTTGGTAATACAGTGTTACTTCGTATGTAATCAGACTGGGTAGTCTCCCTGTTCTGTCTGTGTTCTCTTTGTGTCTGTGTGTTCTTTCCGTCTGTGTTCTCTTTGTGTCTGTGTGTTCTTTCCGTCTGTGTTCTCTTTGTGTCTGTGTGTTCTTTCCGTCTGTGTTCTCTTTGTGTCTTGTGACACCTCCGTGTGTCTACCCTGCACTGGACTCTTAGCCATGTCCTTTGCCTGTGCCTAGGGCTTCTCTATGGAGTGTCCCCTGCCTTGTGCCCTGTCCTGTCCGGCTCCAGTCTTGACCCTGTGACCCTGTGCTAGATAAATCATTGGAAGACTGCGGCACCGGTCTAGACTGCACAGTTTGCACGGTATTATTGCAGATCCTCTTCACACCGAAAGGCAAATCGAGACTGAATGTTAGACGGGATTTAACTGGTCAGAAACAGAGGGGTTGCCGCTGAGTGCTACAGGGAAACACTCTAGCTGGTTTCCGGCAGAAAGGCAGTCAGACAGAGGCCCTTTATTTCTGGGAACAAGCATTAGCAAGCAGTGCTTTTACCATTAGCCATTAGCCGAGTCGATAGCCGAGAGACGGACAGGAGAGGACCCAGCGCCGTCAGGCATCAACAGGCCCGGATCGGGCCGGGGAGAGGACCCAGCGCCGTCAGGCATCAGCAGGACCGGATCAGGCCGGGGAGAGGACCCAGCGCCGTCAGGCATCAGCAGGACCGGA